AATTGGAATTTGTCATTCCATTCCAACTTTTGATATTGCTTTGCTACAATCCTCCTCAGCTTGTTGAAAGCTATGATATAAACATAACCATCATCAATTCATTAACAAAATTAATAACAATTTTATATATAAAAATAAATTAAATTCAAAGTAAAAAAAAAACATACCATCCTAATTCTAAATACGCAGCTGCTCTGTTACAGTAAAAAGTAGCATTGGATTCATCCAACTTAATAGCTTTAGTGTAATAGCTCACAACCTTATTCCATTGTCTTCCTTTATATGCAGCATTTCCCTAAAACCACAAACAAAATTAGTTCTTTAATGGAGTAAAAGGGTAAAATAGTAAAATGGTAAAAACCTTATCCTTCAACAATTCAGAAGCACCCATATTCCCATAAAATTTTGGGAAGGAACTTACAACCAGATAACTTTTCAGTTACTTTGCTAACAATATATACAGTTTTCTGTTGAGGAGCTTTAGATAACTGAAATAAATCATCAGCCACAACTATGCGCCTTGTTCTTCTAGGCTCCAGTGGGTTCAATCTAAGAAGAACATGCCCAACACGATGCAAAACAGAAGGATCACAAGCAAAAATTCCTGAAAGATTTTCATCATCAAACACATGAAATATAAAGAAACAGCAATAAAACTGAAGACTTCTACTGACATATAGTTTGACAAAAACCAAAAGACTACATGAAAAAACATAGGACATACCAAGACTACAACATACCAACAGTGTCTAAACTCTGTGAATTAGGGAGAACCCCAATTGTGGATACAACTCCATGTGAAGGCCGGAATCCAAGGATGCCACAAAATGAAGCTGGGATTCTTACTCCTCCAATTGTATCAGTACCTTAGAAGGTGTTTTAGCGAATTCGAATCAAAGAAAAAAAAGACTCACATCACATAAATACAAACGAACCTTCAATGCACACATCAATAGAAGGATTCATGTTATCGAATACACATAAAGCACAAAACATCTCAGAATATTAACCCGATTATAGCCCAGACAGGGAAGACGAACAAGAGAACGATACCGATGGTGTTGGAAATGCCATTGCTCTTGGTGAAAGCGTTCTTGAATCCTCCAGAAGCTCTGATGTGTTCTTGAAGCAAATAGCATCCGATAACCAAGCAGACCTATCTCCGTTCTTCGTGTACGCCACAACCGATGGTGTCGTCCTCTGCCCCTCGGCGTTGGTAACGATGACAGGCTTCACTTCGTTGCTTCAGTCTCGTCGACCCCGAAGACGCTTCCTTAGCCTGCAATCGATCGACATCCATTGGACCTTGCAGCCGCTTCGTGCTTTCCTTCTCACCTTCATCGATGAATTTGGGGGAAGTTGTTTATAAAAGGGGATAAATTAGGTTAAAATCAACTAGCATAATTATAGGAAAGTATTTAGGGAAGTTGTTTATAAAATTACCTAATTACCCTTATTTATTTATATTTTAATTTTTGATTGGCCCACATTTATGCATACAATAACACAATAAATACTTTAAACAATTGAACCTAGCTCTATATACATATATATAACTCTATATATATATATATATATATATATATATATATATATATATATATATATATATATATATCAAGGTTGTAAAAATCGCTCGACGGTAGTTCGACGGTTGACTGGTGTTAAGGGATTTAATCGGTCTTGGCGTGGATTAATCGGGGACCATAGATTATTAATAAAATATTAAAATTAATCAAAGTTTAATATATTTTAAGAAAAATAAGTATTTATAAAAATAGAAAAAAAGAGAATTTGTAATTTGAAATTTTGAAAATATGAACATTTTGGTATAATATTTGAAATTTTGAAAATTTTAAAATTTTGGAGTAATTTTTTTTTTAATTTTTTAATTTTTTTTTCCGACTTTTTTTACTTTTGTTGACCGATTAATCCCGCCAAAACCGATTAATCCTGTCAAACCCGATTAATCCTTAATTTCTGCCAAACACACTAATCCTAGTGAGTTGGAGAACGCTAAACGATTAATTTACGATTAATCCTGATTTCTGCAACCATGATATATATGTGTGTGAGACGGATCACATTTTATAAAATTATAAGACCAATTTTTTAGTAAAATGTTATAATATTCTAGTTTTTATAAAAATATAGTATATGTAATGTTCTAATCTTTAAGGTTTTAGAATATTACAATATAAACGTTAACAATATTGTTTTAGAATATTATAATATTACACATATTACATTTGTATTAATACCAAAATATTAAAATATTTCAATTGAAACAAATAATTTCTTGGTCTCACAAGTAAAACTTGTATCACATTAACCTTTACATATATTAAAATATTTAAGTAGAAAAAAATATTTGTTTCGTATTCATGTCAAGTGTTAAAAACTTGAAGTCGTGTCATGTCATGTTCATGTCAAGATTTGATACGAAGTTGACAAGATAATTAAATGTGTTTATCATGTTTACGTGTTTGTCTTGTTTGTAAGATTAATTTTGAATTAAATAAACAAAATGTTTACTTTCTTTTATATATTTTATGTTTTTTGCGTTAGTCGTTTTTATCGTGTTTTAACTAACTTGTTTTTGTGTTGATGTAAATAAAACACGATATTATATAATGTATGTGTTATATAAAAATTGTTTTATCGTGTCGTGTCAACTAAAAACACGACACAAGTATCTGATTTGACACCCTACATATTTTTTCAATTTACAAAGTCATATTATATTAGTTCTAAACAAAATACACGATAAACATAAAACTAAAATACTCATCATTAGGGCTGTTCACTATTTGGATAAAACCGAATTGTCCATTTGAACAATATGGATTGGACTACTTGGTGTGGATATTCAAATTTTTGGATTGGTTTTCAACAAAATCGAATTATTATTTTGGATTTTAGATTGATTTTGGTTTATAAAATAAGAACCGAATAGTCCAAAAAAAAACCGAATAACAATTTATTATTTATTTATTTTTAATATATATCTATAATTATTTATTAATTTATTTCTTCAAATAGATTCAAAAACTTTCACTTAATAAAATTAATATGTATTTTATCTTACAAGTTTTTTATCCATAAAATATATATATATATATATATATATATATATATATATATATATATATATATCAGTAGTTGTTTATAAATTTTAAACCACAACTAAATAATTTATTTTTGTTTCTTCTATAAAGTTGACTAATATTCTAATTATATGTAGTTTCAAAATGTTTCGATTTTTAAAAACTGACAGGACCGATCCTGAGGATGCAAATGCCCAGGACGAGGTGAATAAAAAAGACCCTTAGACCTTAACGTGTAACGAATTAAATTACGTAAACTAATTTTTTTATTAAAATGACAATAAACTTTATAGCAATAAACATAGCAAAATCTTCGTAGTCTATACTCTCTAAGAGTTCGTTCTCGATAGATATCATCGCCAAACCGCTAAGTCTTTCTTGGGTCATTGTGGAGCGTAAGTAAGATTTCACAAACTTCAATTTTGAAAAACTTCTTTAATTCAGATGCGACCGTTACTGGAATAGTCAACAATATTCTATATGCAATGCATGCATTTGGGAAATAATCAAGTTCTTTCAAAAACTTCAAAACTTCTATAGGGTTGCTAAATTCATTGGCTTCCAATGTCTTAAATAATTTCAACTCCGTATAAAGTTCATCGGTATCAATATCAGGTCTTTCTTCAAACTTGAGTGCATTTTTCAAGACGATGACAATACAACTTAAGATCTTTATCTTCAATTCCTCTCAAATTATGTGGAAATAAAAAACCAAATATTTTGTTATACTCTTTGAATTGTTCAAATCTTGTCTCAAGAGAAGAAATTGTTTGATCAACAATGTATAATAGTCATTATATGAATTCTCAATTCTAGAACAAAAAATAAACTAGATACATGAATGTTGAATGAAATTGACTGAATTCTATTATTGTAAATCTTGATAAGTGATAACATATATAATATATTCTTGATTTCTTGCTTTACTGTAAATAGACAATATATATATATATATATATATATATATATATATATATATATATATATATATATATATATATATAAACTAAAAATGTAAAATTCGAATCTAGTTTTGCAGGAAATACCAAATTACAACCAACAATAAACAATTCTGATAACCAATTCTCAAATCTACAAGTTCAATTCGGGTTTGAGTGTTTGACTGTAAAATTAAAACCTTACCTGATTAGCAATTAGTGATCGATTAAACTCAATCAGAGGGTAATTCCGATTGATCGACCACTGCCTCGCTGGAATGTTGGATAAAGTGCCGAAGCTTGAATAATCAATCGCAATCGTTTCTGCCTTCTGTTTTGGCGTTTGTTTTCCACTTTTCTGGTTTTGGCGTTCATTGCTTTCTTGCGTAATGTGTACGTCCCAATTCTCTAATGGCCTGATCAACGAATTACAAAAGTGGACTGGACAAATGGATTAATGGACTAACATTCACGGACTACTCTCAATACTCTCAATATAGTATTTAAAAAATGGGCCCCATAAAAGAATGGCTCTGTGCCTTTGTCCTGCTTGCCCATGGCCTTCACCGGGCATGGAAACCGAATTATAAAAACCGATCAAACCGAATTGTAATGCGGTTGGATCGGATCATATTTGAATTTAGTTTGAACCATTCGGATCTAAGTTTTGAAAACCAAAATCTATTTGGATTCACTTGATTGGAAATGATCGAACCAAATTATCCACACGAACATCCCTACTCATCATTGTCCAAAAATAATAAGAAAAAGGTTTCGTTAACATTTTTTTCAAAATATTGTTTTTATAAGTTTAATGTACTCTAATTTTCGGCATATATTTTAACACATTAAGGGGCTGTTTTAGAGAATAAAAAGTAAATTTTGAAACTTTTGATAAAATTTAAAGGGTGTGAACTGAAAATATAAATATATTAAGAATATTAATATTTTATTCATGACTGATGGTGGTATCAGAGTCCGTGGATTTAAGTTTTCTTTCTTGCATTTAAAATTACCCTATATATAATGTCTCCCCCTTTCAAAATTACGTACCATCGCTCTCTGATTGATTTTCTGTGTATAATTGAGGAGAGAGATCCTTTGATTTCACTCTAAATTTGGATCTAGGGCCTTCAATTAAGGTACTTCCCCTCATATTATTATTATTATTATTATTATTATTATTATTATTATTATTGTTGTTGTTGTTGTTTAGAGATGAATTTGTTATTAAGATTTTCGTATAATCGTGTCTGAATTCATCTATACGTTGCTGTTTCTTAAGATTTAGGTTCAGTTCTACTCAATTTTGTCTTGATTTCTCTCTAAGCTTCTGTTTAATCATTCATTACTTTGTATACACTAATTGTTTGACATTTTTTGCTTTGTTTTGTGGTTAACAGCTAGCAATTTAAGTTCAATTTTATTGACTTCTAAGTTCATACTTGCTTAAAAACTTCTACACTTTTCGAATATTCTATACGTGTTTTGGTTTGATTTCTTTGTTTTGGCATTTTTAAGTTTTCAACTCACCGTGTTGAACAATGTCACCTCTACTTGGTTACTTTTGCTTTATATACAAACAATTATGTCATTTGCCTTGTGATTAAATTTAGCTCAAATCCTTGGGTTTAAGTTTTTATAAATGAAGCACAGAGATGCAATAATCTAATCAGCTCGATCTATTTTGTTTTCAGGATTTCATCATCGAACAGAGATTTGAATTACAAATCAACATAAATTTTGTTTATGTTTACTTGGAAATTAAAGTTGTAATGGAACATCGTCCTCCTATTGACGAAGATTTTATCGTTGATCTCGAGAGTGGCACCATTGAAGAACGAATCCCTAATCCCCAATCTGATGAAAATCTAGCAAGAAACGATTTCATTTCCACCAGATTATGTGACCAATTGAATGTCGATCCATTAAATGTGAAGGTGGTAATCGACTCAAAGATAGAAGGAGATTCGACAATGAAGAAAATGGGGAAAGAGAAACGTAAAAAGTCGTGTTCAAGTGCTAAAAAACCACCTAAACCACCACGTCCACCTAGAGGCTTTTCTTTAGATGCTGCTGATCAGAAGCTTATCAAAGAGCTTGCTGAACTTGCCATGATGAAAAGGGCAAGAATCGAGAGGATGAAAGCACTCAAGCAAAAGAAAGCATTAAAAGCTTCATCTTCATCATCAATCAGTGGTAGCTTGTTTGCTATGATCTTTACAATCATCTTCTTCCTAATGATATTCCACCAAGGTAATAAAGTACACCTTAATTTTTATCATTATCCCTCTTTCTTTCTTCTTACTTTCTCCATAAAAAAAAACACCAGGAATATCTTATTGTTTTTATATTTTTCCATTAAGAAAAAACTTTACATTATGTTTTTTCAGGAATGTCATGCCAAAATTCGAGTGTAACTTCTCAGGGTTCTCCTCAAACAGCTCAAACAAACGAAAATGGTTTAGTATTTACACAAGAACAACTCAATCCATCCGCTAGTGATTCCATTCTACCCGATTCTAAATCTTCAAGGTATGCAAACCATTTTATATTTTCTTTTTGATATAAGTACATGCTTGTTATTGGAAGAAAATATAATTTTTTTTTTCTTTGTATTTTGCAGTTTTTTTCAAAAGATTCCCGGTTCAGGTTTTGTTAGCAGGAAAGTACTTTCGTCTAGTGTTATGCAAGACAAGAGAAAACAAAATAGTAGCTAAATAAAAAAATAAAAACAAAAAGGTAGCCTCCATGTGGCAATGCCTGTGACAACAATGTTGTACCATGTGTATAGTAACAAGTTATTTGTTATGCGGTATATGACATGAAAGAACAGAACAGCTGGATGGACTGAGAATGACACTGATGTCAGTAGCCAAAATTATGATTTTTATGGCACCCAAAAAGGTGTAACATGGACTCGTTGCGGTCTATGTTTTGTGCAAAAAGACGTTAATGTCCTCCTCATCGTCAAAAATTGCAAAAGTTTGTTCGGTTTCATCCGGTCCAGTACTACAATTTAGTCTGGTTCTGTTAAGTATTGTTTGTGTAACAAAATTTAGTTTAAAGGATAGTTTTTGTACTTATTCTAATTGTGCTACTAGAACAGGGCTTTTTTTATTATATAGAGATGAGAAATCGGCAATTTAGCTGGAGTTAGAGTTAGGTTTTTTTGTTTTGTAATTAACAAGTTAAGTAATATGTATTGTAGTCAACAAAAATCGAGATCTGATATCTATGTAAATCAGTTGAGTTCAAATTTTTAATATCCCACTTATAAGATTCAGATTTGCTTCTTAATTATTTGCTTAGTGATGCATCAAAACATGTGTGAGAGTTTATGAGTGATTGTGAGACATATAGGTTTGTTTTTCTTTAAAAAGACAATTATACCCTTCTTCCCTTGTTGTTTTGAAAGAGCAACACACTGCCTCGAAGGGTGTTTTGGGGAATTTATTAGACAAATAGTTACCTGATGCTATATTCATGACTATGGAGAAGTCTATTTCATGTAAAATGACAGCTACACCCTTTGTCTCTTTTCCCTTTTAGGAAAAAAAATGTTTTTTTTTAACTTTACTTATTTTTTTTTTATCATCGTTATTAATAATTGATGTTGCCAATGTTATTTTCAGCAAAAGGGATTTTTTTGCATCTGGACAAATTGGTACAAGGAAGTATGTGATTCTTAAGACATGCATGTGCATATGGATGAGCATTCATAGATAATCGAGGATTTTAGTATGATATTTTGCATAATTTGGGTATGGACTTATTTTGGATAGATTTTGAAATAATTGAGAAGTGATGCAAAATTACATTTATACCCTTCATCCTCAACGGGCGACTAACAGACTCATTCATGTCGCCCATACGTATCTGATTAAAGATATTGCATTCATTAGATACTAATTTCACAACTATGGTTTCTTTTGGTAAAGATAATTAATAATCAGTTTGTTACGTAAGACATGACATGACAAAAAAAAAAAAAACTTGTTCTGCGTTCAGTATTATATTGGACTTGAACTAAAACAAATATTAATCGGACAAAAATGTTATTTTTTGTCACATCCATAAAAGATAGAACAAGACGGGACACTGATTTGTTGTCGATCTCTCGTCTATGTAAAAGGCATTCATGCGCTTCTCATCATTATCGTCACAAGCAACTCGTGTAAGTATATAGAGTCATCTCCGGTTCAGTCTCGTGAGTATAACATGAGCAACACTAGGACTTAATATTATTATTTTCAAAATAATTAATATACAAAGATAGCAAATAAATATTTGATAAACTATATATTGTGGTATAATTGACCCTCATGGACTTTCCAAGACCTAAGCATGGCATGGGATACCCCACCCCCCACACCCCCCTCCGAAACAACCTGGGTGACCAGAGACCATATGGTGATGTTGGGTTATAATTCATTCATATTTGGAATTGGATCAAATACATGTGAATCAGATCCATAAACTAAGCAATAATACCATTTTCACTTGCTTTTCCATTTGACCTTCTCGATCTTTTTCTTTCATGTGCCTTCTAATAATATATATAGTAATAGCCTACAAGTCAAAGACTTTGTAGCAGATAATTCTTTTAATTATTATACTTATAGTTTCTTTATATATAGATCATCATATTTCTTAAAATACAAAATGAGAAGAAACAACATGTAACATCCCAAAATTCGAGACCAAAAATTTCATTTTAATTAAGTGATTTATAAAATAGTTTATCAAATCATTGCCAAAATCATGTCAATACATAGAACCATAATATCAAGTCTCAAACCAAAACATCTCAAGTATCAAATATCAGAGTACAATCCCAGAAAACTCTAAGCGGAAATCATAGGTGTGTGTGTGACGCGCTGCTACACCGCCGACTCCTTCCCCTTAGACGAAGAGGTACCTGAAACCAAAACTGAAACTGTAAGCATAAAGCTTAGTGAGTTCTCCCATCATACCACATACCAAACAACCACATAGCATACATACTGTCGGGCAATTCTGGGGCGCCCGTTCTACCCATGTCAAGCCATTCTGGGGTGTTGACCTACCCATGTCAAGCCATTCCGGGGTGCTGACCTACCCATGTCAAGCCATTCTGGGGTGCTGACCTACCCACCGGTCTATCTCAACCGAACACGGGGACTATTTCACCCCCTACTGCTAACACATAATACCATATCACAATCATGCTGTCAGACGTATCTGGGGTGTCCGACCTACCCATTGGTCCTAACGACCGAATCGGGGACTAGTCCCCTCCTACTGATACTATATCACATAACAAAGCAACTAGCATACTTCCATACCAAGCAATCTAGCATACTCACATATCCAACCATAACAGACCAGACAATTATCACAAAGATAATCATCCCAACTAACAATCACTAGTGGGCCGGCCTTGGTGCCTTAGACCCACTCCTACTGGAAGGTAACTCACATCGATGTCGCGTAAGTCTGAACTGTCCTTGGCGTGAAGGTCGGCTCTCCTCGACTCCTCAATCCCTACACGACAACCATCAAGTCATCAAACAGAACATACAACCTGAATATCCTCCAAGGATTGCCACTGGCCACTCGATGTAGTTCAGGCTATCATCCACCTGAATATCCTCCAAAGGTACCACCGCCGAATCGTCCACCAGACACTTCCGCAACTGGGAGACGTGAAAGGTGCTATGAATCTGACTGAGTTCGGCTGGCAGATCCAGCCTATATGCCACCTTGCCCACCCGGGCTACAACCCTGAAGGGTCAAATATACCTGGGGCCCAGCTTGCCCCGCTTCCTGAATCGAATGACGCCCTTCCAAGGCGACACCTTCAGGAGCACCATATCCCCGACCTGGAACTCCAGATCCGATCGACGCTTGTCGACATAACTTTTTTGCCGACTCTGAGCAGTCTGAAGCCTGATCCGAACCTGCTGGATCCTCTCCGTAGTCTTGAGTACCACTTTGGTACTCCCCAAAACTCTCTGTCCGACCTCTCCCCAGCATATCGGGGTCCTGCACTTCCTCCCATACAACATCTCGAAAGGAGGACGGTCGATGCTCGCATTATAGCTATTATTATAAGAGAACTCCGCCAACGGAAGGTAAGTATCCCAACTACCTCCGAAATCTAAAACACAAGCCCGCAGCATATCCTCCAGAGTCTGGATGGTCCTCTCACTCTGACCATCCGTCTGCGGGTGAAAGGCGGTGCTAAAGTGCAGACGAGTACCCAACTCGTCATGAAACTTCTTCCAAAACCTGGAAGTGAACCGCACGTCCCTGTCGGAAATCACTGAAAATGGCACCCCGTGCCGCGCCACTACCTCTCTGATGTAGACGTCGGCCAACTTCTCAGCCGAAATACTCTCCTGAATCGGAATAAAATGGGCGCTCTTGGTCAATCGATCAACGATGACCCAAATCGAATCCACTCCTCGCGCGGTTCTGGGAAGCTTCGTAATGAAGTCCATAGTAATATCCTCCCATTTCCACAGCGGGATATCCAACGGCTGGACCTTGTCGTAAGGTCTCTGGTGCTCAGCCTTGACCTTCCCGCAGGTCAGTCACCTCTCCATAACCCAAGCTATATCCCTCTTCATACAGGGCTACCAATAATCTAGACGAAGATCCATGTACATCTTCGTCGCCCCGGGATGGATAGAGAATCTGGATTTGTGTGCCTCTGCCATCAATACCTGGCACACACCCCCATGATAAGGGACTCACACCCTACAGTGAAGAGACAACAATCCCCGACTATCATAGTCGAAGGAGGAAACCTGACCCACAATTCGCTCACTCTTCCGATGTTCCTCCTTCATGGCCTCCTGTTGGGCCTCCCGAATCTACTCCAACAGCGGAGTCACAACTGTCATCCTCAGACAGATGTCCCTGATCGGCGCTGCCTTGCGGCTAAGCGTATCAGCCACGACATTGGCCTTCCCCGGGTGGTAGAGGATCTCGCAATCATAATCATTCACCACATCAAGCCACCGACGTTGCCTCATATTCAGATTTGGCTGGTCCATGAGATACCTCAGGCTCTTGTGGTCCGTATAAATGGTACAACGAACCCCATAGAGGTAATGACGCCAAATCTTGAGGGCGAAAACAACAGCCCCCAGCTCCAAATCGTGCCTCGGATAATTCGCCTCGTGAGGCTTCAGCTGCCTCGAAGCGTAAGCTATAACATGCCCCCTCTGCATCAATACCGCGCCCAAACCTGAGATGGACGCGTCGCAGTATACAACAAAATCCTCCATGCCCTCCGGTAGGGCTAAGATTGGCGCCTCGCACAATCGCTGTCTCAATGTCTCAAACGCAGCCTGCTGCTCAGGCCCCCAGCGAAAGACCACGACTTTCCTTGTCAGCCTGGTCAGGGGCACGACTATCTTGGAGAAGTCCTGAATGAATCTCCGATAGTAGCCTGCCAATCCCAGGAAGCTCCGAATCTCAGATGGATACCTCGGAACCTCCCACCTCATCACGGCCTCAACCTTGGCCGGATCAACCGATATCTCGTCCTGGTTGACAAGGTGCCCAAGAAACTGCACCTCGCGCAACCAGAACTCACACTTGGAGAACTTAGCATACAAGTTCTCCCTCCTCAAAGTACCCAAAACCTCTCGCAAGTGCTCCTCATGCTGCTCTCGCGTCTTGGAATAAACCAAGATGTCATCGATGAAAACTATCACGAACTGATCCAACATCGGTCTGTACACGTGGTTCATGAGGTCCATGAACGCGGCAGGAGCATTGGTGAGCCCGAAAGGCATCACCACGAACTCATAGTGGCCATAACGCGTCCGAAACGCAGTCTTCTGCACATCCTCCTCTCTGACCCTCATCTGATGATACCCTGAACGCAAATCAATCTTGGAGAACCAAGATGCTCCCTGTAGCTGGTCAAAGAGGTCATCAATCCTCGGGAGTGGGTAATGGTTTTTCACCATTACCTTATTCAGCTCCCTATAGTCTATACACATCCGATGCGACCCGTCCTTCTTTTTCACGAACAGAATCGAGGCTCCCTAGGGTGAACTGTTCGGTCTAATGAATCCCTTGTCTAACAGCTCCTGCAGCTGTGTAGACAACTCCTGCATCTCAGGAGGAGCCAACCGATATGGTGCCTTGGCTAT